ATTAATACCGTAGACTTTACTGGCATGTCCTTCTAATGGCATTTTACATTCTGCCTTGCATTGTAATGATCTCTATGTATCTTATCTTGTAAGTAGATTATAAACTCCTGGAGGGCAGGGGCCATATATGTTCCTATAGGACCTAGATAAGAGATTCATACACAGCTAGGTATTGAAAGAGAGAAGGAAATAAAATAGAGAATAAGCAATCTCATTGGTTCACGAGAATTTGAGCTTGTGGCTTTGGCCTCATTTAACACAGTACTTTCAGACCTTAAAAAAATTAACTTTTTTTTATAGTCTTATTGAGGTATACTTCATATATCATAAAATTCAACCATCGTAAGTATACAATGTAATGATTTATAGCAAATGTATAGAGCTGTGTGATCATTGTCACAATCCAGTTTTAGAACATTTCCATCGCCCCGGAAAATTCCTTCATGCCTATTTGTCACTCCCATTCCTACCCCCAGCTCCAGGCAACCACTAAGCTGCTTTCTGCCTCCATGGATTTGCCCTTTCCAGACATTTAATATAAGTGGAATTGTATAAAATGCCATCTTTTGTGTCTGGTTTCTTTCACTTAGCATAATGTTTTTGAGGTTCATCCAGGATCTAGCAAGAATCAGTATTCTGTTCTTTTTTCCTGTTTAATATATCACATTTTGTTCATCTGTTCACCGGTTGATGAATATTTGAATTGTTTTGGTTTTGGGCTATTATAAATAATGCTGCTACAAATATTAACATAGTAGCTGTTATGTGGATATGATATTTTCATTTTTTTAATTTAGGATATTTTATTATTTTTTCTGTCTCAATGTCAGATCCACAGAACTTGTTATAAGTAATCTCTTTGTATACTATTGTTCTAATTTGGACATTTTGGACTCTGTGGAAAATAACCATTTCCCCTTCAGTTTAATTATGATATTTTCATTTAATTAATTTGTTTAGCAAATATTATGGTACACCTACTATGTGTTGAGCACTGTACTAAGTAAGTAAAATTATTTTATAAACAGAAGTTTATAAAATAGGCAGAATCTGTCTTCATGGAGTTTGCATCTAATGAGGGGGTAGAGTGGGAGGGAGGGGGCAAATTAAACAAGTAAATTATGTAGCGTATTAAAAGAAAAAGTGCTATGGAGGAGAGTAAAGCAGGGGAGCGAGGTGAAGAATGCCAAGATAGAGGCATTTGCAATTTTGAATTAAGCATTTTCATGGAGGACCACACTGAGCAGGTGACATCTGAGCCAAGACTTGACGAAGGCAGAGAAGGAGCCTGGTGAGAATCACAGCAGGAACATTTTGGGGAGAGAAAACAGCAAGTGCTAAGGCCAGGAGGTGGGAGGATCCCAGTGGTGTTTGAGAGGACACTTTGATCTGGCTGGAGCAGAGAGAATAAAGGGGAGAAAGGAAAAGGAGGTGACGTCCCTTAGGGCCATATATGCCATTTTTAAGACTTTAACTTCTCTTTTCAGGGAGATAAAAGACCATTACAGGGTACCAAGCAGAGAAGTGACATAATCTCGTTTAGATGTTACAAAGGACATATTGGCTGTTCTATTGAAAATCAATACAGGGAGGCAGAAGCAAGGGAGACCAGTGAGGAGGACACTGCGAGAATGCAGGTGAGAAAGGATGACGGCATGGACCAAGGCGGTAGCAGCAGAAGGTGGAAGAAGTGGTTGGATTTAGATATATTTTGAAAGTAGATCCCACAGATTTGCTGCTGCATTAGATGTAGGGTGGTGGGAGATGATGATCATCCAAGGCCGGATGACTTCAAAGTTTTGGTCTGAGTACCTGGAGAGATGGAGTTTTAATGAGATTAAGTAAAAGCTGGGACCCAAAAGACAGAAAATCTTCTCCAGTGAGAGTGGGTGGGAGCAGCACAGATAAGGGAGGCTTAGCCCAGCTCAGAACCAGAAAGTCAACAGCTGATTATGTCAGTTCAATCTGAGGCACTCTTTTCAGTTCTCCTGGAAGTCGATTTCATTCTCAATGCCTCCGAATAGAGAAGCCAGACAAAGAAAATGGACCACAACTGTCAAGGGGAAAAAGAAATCCTAGCTGGCAAAAACCAGCTAAATTCTTGGCCTGAATATCCGGTGTCTGTGGACAGGGGGAAGTTGATGAGCCTTCGTTCCTGAGCCAAACAAAGCTAAATTTTGTATTTAATTTGTGTAGCTATAATTTCCAGCATTTATATTAAATGTTTTTAGTTAAGTGCTTTTCATTCTTTTCAAGATAAGAATGTCATTATTCTTACATCTTATCTGTGAATGGGGTTCAAAGAGAAGGGACTTGGGAGGTGTGTGTGTGTGTGTGCGTGCAGGCATGTGCATGGGTGTGTGTTCTTGCACGTGTACAGGGGAGGTTCTCAAGAGCCCAAGTCCTCTGTCTATACAGGTAAGCTGGGGGTGGGAAGCTATCTGGAAAAAGACATGGTCACAAATAAGTATTTAATGTGGCTAGAACTAAAGCAAAGGAGTGAACATTCTAGGGTAGGCTTCAGTCAGAGGGCTTATTTTAATAAAGCAAATATCCAATAAAATCATCAAAATTTGTGAAAATCTAATTTCTCTTGGCTTTGTTGAATGTAACTTGACCTCTGAGAATCAGGACACTGGATTTCTGGTCCTCCTAGCGCTTGTGTGTAACTATTGATTTGGACCTGCCTCTCCACTGTTGGATATGTATGACCACTTGAAAATTAACTGTGGTTCCTTATTGTGCATACTTTCTTTGCTTCCCCTTATTCCCATGTCCCCATTTCCTCTTCATTACCCAAAAGAATGAGAGGAGTGGAAGTCAAAGTCTTTAGGGCTTTCCCTTCTGGTGAGTGGTACATCAGCTATACTCAGGTGTGTTCATAATTATTCTGTGGCTTTAAAGCCTCCTCTGGGTAAAGAATGTCTTTACCTGTGTGTATGAAGTTTAGCAGCATGGCAGTGAGACTGAGTGAATCGTCAGTAATTTCTCCTCCCCAGAGGTCATGGTGAATCTTCTGGGTTTAACTGTGGTTTGAGGTATATGATGGATGAACCAGATGATGAGAGTTCACTCAAATCTTCCAGTACAGGGCAAACAATTTGTCTGGTTATAAAGATCCAAAAGCTGCTCATATATACAGAGAAACTAGAGTTTTCTTAGATGAGAATTTTAAACATTTGCATACTATAAGTACCTATGAGTTTTGAGGAATCAAATTTCAAAGACTTGGAGAAATGCCTAGACTATTTGAGACCGATTAAATTTCTACTTATTCATCCTTAAGTATTCAAAAGATTATTTTTCCTAATTCTAAATGAATAGAAAATGACATGCTATGGATTAAGCCTACGTTTCACTTATATGTGCCAAAAAGCCATATCATAAAAGCATTAATGTATTTCCTATTGCTTCTTTGTCTTCTTCTCTTAAAGTTTTCTTTCTAGTGAAGACATAGGTATTTTATTAGATTTTTATTTGACCTGTAAACAGATCTGGAGAAAATGAGCAAGTTGGACGTGATTCTATGGAAGTAAGATTAGTACTTAGAATGACTATCCAGACTTGGACATGATTCTGGACGCCATCTGGTCCACCACGTTTCTCAGATAGATTTCTATCCAGGCCTCAACTGTTTTAAAAGATGGAGAGCATTGTCCACCTGCAGGAATCTGTTCCCATATTTAGTCAACCTTTTAGCCCAACTTATGGTCGAAGAGATTACAGCTATTACTCTGTTCTTGTATATGTGGCCACTTGATCGCAGAAGGAAATTAATTGGCCTGGCATGATTTGCCTTTCAAAAAGTCACATTGGTTTCCACCCAATACTTTGTGCTTTTCACGTTGACGCTAATTGATTGATGTTAAGTTCTATATTTTCCCTGATATTCAAGTTAAGCTGACAGGTCTGTAATTACCAGGATTGTCCTTTTTCCCTGTTTAAAAAGATGAGCACTTCATTTACCCTTTTTTCTGTCTATAGGGACTTTCTTTATCCTCTTGAGTTCTTAAAAATAATCACTAGCAGCTATGTAATAACACCTGCCAATTCCTTAAGCACTCTTTGAAGTATGTCATCAGGCTTTGCTGATTTGCCTAAAGCTGGCTTTTCAAAATACTTTTTAACCACTTTATTCCTTATTCTAGTTGGTACTCTTCTGTCTCAGGTTGGCATTGATCTGATAACCAGATCCCTGGTTTCTTCATCTAAGAACTGAAAGTCTCATTTTTTCCCAGTCAATGTCATGAACTTCTTTCCTTTTTTTTTTTTTTTTGAGGTGTTGAGATATTTTCTTTGTAACTCTGGTCTAGACTTAGATCACTAGATAGGTTTATCTGTTACATTTTATGTCTTCTACAAATTACATGTCTTGTACTTTCTCCAATGTAGAACTGTGTGTTTATGTGGCATGCGTTTCTTTTGGACGCATCTTTGTGATTTAGACCTTCTCACGAGTGACCTCTGCTTACCAGAGATTTACTTAAAAAAACTATTTTGAAGTAATTTTAGGTTTCTAGAAAATTACAAAAGTAGTACAGGCAGTTCTCATAGACTCTTTATCTAGCTTCCCCTAATATTAACATTTTATATAAACAGAGTATATTTGTCCATACTAAGAAATTAATATTGGTAGATTATTATTCCCTAAACTAATACTTTATTTGGATTTATCCAGTTTTTTGACTGATGTGTGTGTGTTTTTTTTCTGTTCCAGGATCCAATCCAGATCCCCCATTGCATTTAATAGATTTACTTAATTTTTTTTTTCATTCTGAATGATTCAAAGTGATATCTGTACGTGATAATTTCCATTGAGAGTCTATTATAATCTTTACATATTCAACTAATTACTTTTATCTGCAGAAATAAAACTTCTCAGAATTTTATGCTAAAAATAATGTCCTCCATACACTTCAAAGATGAGTTTGACAATCTGAGCCCTGCTGAATGTCAGGGCATTCTATCCATGCCACCACCAGGGCCAGAGAAGCCTGGGAAATTGCTCAAAAAGATACTTCCTTTTCTGGTTTGATGATCACGGTATCTCTATCGTTCTTTTCGCCTTTAACTTTATTGAGGCACTCTTTTGATTCCTGGGCAGGGTGGGGACTAGAGTGAAGCAACTAAGTGCAAATTTCAAGGAGGCTCTGAGTTGAGCAAGTGCAGGGTTGACACCTGAAGAGTGAATGCCCCTAAAATTCTGCACCCTAGGCACCTCACTTGTTTTACCCTGGTCCCAGCTACGTCCCTGGAGTTTGGAGTACAACGTATTCTTGATTTACAAGGTATGTCATTTTCTTTCCTCATCACCCACTCCCTGCTCACCTCTCCTTTAGTTATACATAATATCTGATATAATGTTTTAATTTTCTTGCATAACTGTGGTCCTGAAGTACGGCCTCCTGCTTGTTTCCCCACTCCTTGTTAGCCATCAGTCAACATTTCAGAAAGTCTTGGGTTTTCCCTTTGTTCCCATATTACATTTTCTTGTGGAAGGCAGATCTTGCAGGGATTTTCTGAGTGGATGAGTATAAGTCTACATCTAATTGTGTATTTGTATGCGTAGTCTGCAATTTAAATTCTGCACTAAGTGCTAGGAGAAAAAAAGAGCCTGTTTTAAAGCTTGTTTCAAGCTGTTAGACCTTCTTCTAGGCAATTAGTATAATAAAATGAGACTTAATACCTTTCTCCTTCCAAGTTGCCAGGTACATTTATAAGCCATGTGGCTTTCCCTGACTAGGGGAATAAATAAACTCATGACAGCAATGGTGAAAATATTCTAAAACATTAATATTTAGAAAGAAGTAAATTGTGATAGTCTTCTTGAGATTCGTTTAAGAAAAACCGATGGATTTGTCTATATTCCTGACTTCCTAGGGAAAGGACAGCAATGCTTGGTAAGAGGTAAGAGGGAATCGCTTTGTTGTTAGCAGTTTTAGGGCACTTCAGAGGAAAATTGGTGGTTTCTGTAGGGAGGTGGTGAGTCTTAGGAGAACTTTAACAAGCACAATGAAGAGAGACCAGGCCCTTGACCACAAATGTCAAAGAATATGATAGTTGCTTACACAGCAGCTAAGAGGCTAACTTGGGGGTCTGGTAACAGGTCTGTGTGACCAGGACATGTTTATGGTTGCCAAGAACTCAAATTCCTAAATGGAAATGAAGACTGCAAAGTAAGGAATTCTTGGAAACCCTAAGATTTTAGAGAGCTTTGGGAAAATATCTTCCAGCTGCACCCCCCCTAGATTCTGTGGATAAATTTAGAGACTGCTTTCAAGTCTTAGCCCTACAGTTTCCGAAGAGAGAAAATCTCAGGCTGAAATGAAGCTGCCTCAGCTAATGAACTGTGTAGGCTACAGATAAATATTCAAAATCACACAGTCTCAAGAAAGATGATCATGCCAGGAGGTCCTTTTGCTCACACATGCGTAGGACAAGTGTTACTGGGTGTTTTGGCTTGGGCACCACCAGAAGCAAGCCCCGTGGCAAGGAACTGAATGTCAAGTAGTGGTTTATGTGGGAGGTGATCTTAGGAAACTCAGGGAGGGCAGCGGGAAAATGGGACAAAG